ATCAAGTAAGCATTCGCCCTTAACCTTTATCTTGATCTTCAAAATTAAAGAAAGTTACATTTTTTATTAACTTGTTATATAATCTTTTTTACTTTTTTTTACTCCTACTAGTATGTCCTCTGCTGTTTGTGAGTCTGTGGGGGAGGTGGTCTTGGTGCTGGCACCGACTAATTGATCAATTAAACATCAATTGCTTGGCCATTGAGCTGCGGGTCTTCCTCGCCCTTCGAATCTTGCCTTAGTTGTTTCTTTTTCTTGCTCCTGGTTTACCCTCAACATTGCAAGTTGGTAGCTGGTAGTTGGTCGCCTTCATAAAGCAAGAAACTGGTGAAAACTTTTCGCTATTTCAACTTGAGTTGTTATGACACTTTTAATAACTTTATTATTGCATTTACATAGTAGCAGGGCATGCCAAGCGGCGGCGGCGGCAGTAGCAACACCACCAACTTGTTCTGGTTAAGTGTGCCGCTGTGAATCCTGTGAGTTCTGCTCCCGCTTCCTTTTGCCCCTGCATATGTTTGCAGTTTCCTTGAGGTGTGTGTGTGTCTGTGTGTGTGTGCTTGCGTGTTTCTTAGCTGTCTAAGCAATTAAAAGTTTAATATAATTAAATGGTTTTATGACTTTGACTGTGCACCGAGTGCTGCAGTCGCTTGCACCCTTTCTACCTTTCACAAGCAGAGAGCTAAAGAAAAATAAATAAAGCTTTTATAAAATAAATTAAATATAAAATATTTTTAGAAATAAATTAAGAAAAGCATTAAGTTAAAACTATACTTAGTGACTTATCCTGACCTAAAAAAAAAAATTAAAATAAAGTAATATATCTATTTTATACTAATATTCCCAAGTATCTAACCTGATTAAGTACTAATTAATCGTAGGTTTTCAATATCAATACCCTTTTCCAGTTCGAAATTTCTTTCCGTGCCATTTTCGACTGCCCTCAGACACGTTTTTAGCAGCAGTAGCATCTTAAGACGCTGCCTGGTAAACACGTGCACTTTAAAATCCCCCAAAGCAAATAACAAGCTGATAGCTAACTGGAGCACAGGTTCCCTCCCCGAGCTCCTACATCGCCATCGTCAGCCTCTCCTCCCCCGAAGTGATTAAGCCATCAAAGTTTGCCTTCGACACGCAGCATTAACGCTTCGACTTTGCTTAGCTGTGAGCTTCGAGCTGTGAGCTGTGAGCTCTGAGCTGTGAGCCAAGTGCAGTGCGCCGGATGCCAGGCAGCTCGATAATTACTTGGCCAGCGTGAAGTTTTGGGCAGACATCAGCAGAAATTGGCTGGAAGAGCGACGATGTCGGTGGATGGGCAAAAAGAGCGATTCAGTCGCAATGTGTCCGTCGTTTTGCCAAGTCGATGTCGATGTCATTGCCGTTGTCCCTGTCGCTACAAATCTCCTTGCGACAGATGGACGTGGCGACGCGACGCATCCAAAGGCGGAGACAGGGGGCGTTGCTTATAAATGATGGCAGCAACCACGCCCCCATTCACATGACGGCACGAAATGCTCTAATTTATATATGCCCAATTTGTGACTTTTTGGGGGGATGAAAAAAAACGAAGAAAACTAGGCAACGGGAGCCGAAGGCTCGGAGAAACTTTCAGGGCAATCTGGCCAGAAGCATGAGCTTTGAAGTTCAAAGTAGAACGGTTTACCCAAAGGAAATCCTATGCCTTCTTTAAGTTTTTGAAAAGCATCATTTTTAATTAAAGAAATATTAAATATGTACTTAAAAATTCGACAGTTTTACTGCGAATTACACCTTTGGTTTCCCTGCCAATTTTATTTATATTTTGAAAACAATTCTCCCAGTTTGAAGTGTTATTAAATACCATTCACCAGGCCCCTATGGCCTAATCACTGTAATTATTTCAACGTTTAAGGTTTAGTTTCATCCCGTTTGCATGGTGGTAGCCTTTTCAGAGCCATGACCCAAATATTCCACTCATTTGCATAAACATCTCTCTGGCGCCCAAAGCGCTCGCACATGGTGAAAATGGCATCCACCGCAAAATGCAGAGGGCAGTTCTGGGAACCGACAGCCGGCCGGGGCCCCAAAAGCGATTGTCCCATCAGAAAAATGCTACACAAATCATGCATAATATAAATTAATAGCCATCAACTCTTAAATTTCGGCAGCATTCTTAAATCGGCTGTCGGGCCTGCAGGCGTCCCTTTTTGCGCGCCACCCGCCGTTTCATGGCAAATTAGTAGCTCGTGGGCATTTTAATTGCGTCCAGCGGCGGGTTGGGCATGGCGAAAAAGGGCACACGGGGGGGTGGAAGCGGCCAGGGGCGGTTATGTGCGTCAAAAAATAAAATGAATTCATTTGTACCCTTTTCAAAGCCGTATAAAAGAAGGCTAAGACGCGGCAAGCGGCACGCGGTCCCCAAATGACTTAACTCATTTAATGTGGCTCTAATGGGATACAATTTAAATTTAATTGATTTGCCCGACAAGCTTTTTATGGCCGCAAGAATTTCTCTAAATTAAAAATGCCTTTTCCCGGCTGTGTGCTGTGTGCTGTGTGCTGTGTGTGTGCGTGTGGTTGGTAAAAATGCGGAGCGCTTTAAAGGGCGCCAAGATTAATTCATGTTTTGTGCTTCAGCATATTGATTAAATATGCAGAGCAGCGCTGGTGGCTCAAAGAGTGCCTGACAACAGTTTGCCCGCTTTCTGCTTTCAGCTTTCAGCATTCTTGCTTTTTTTTTGCAGTGGCTCGCTGATTTATTGGTTTAATGCACCCACGGCGCCACCGGCAGCAGCAGCAGCAGCACCCGCACCACCCGCACCACCCGCATAAACAGAGCGCAACAAACCGCAGCGGGGGAGTTGGTTGTTGGATGTTGGGACAACCTTTGCTGCCCGCCGCCATTTCTTAGCCTGGCAGCTAATTTATGTGCGCACGCGGCAGAGAAAATGCTGCCGAAAGGATACGCCAGGCGCCAGGAGCCAGCGCACACGGGAAATAATATTACAAAATTGGGGCAGCACCATAAAGTGTGTAAATTGTTGAACAGAATCACCAGGCGGCTTCCAAAGCTTGTTATTCCTTAAGTTTTTTGCTTATTAAAATTGTGTTAATTCAATTTCTGTTCAAGTTCTAAGAAAGTTTCAATAAATATAGGTATTTAAGCTTGTAAAAGATTGAATATTTTCTCTCTCTGCACCAAACGAGAAACATTTCCCCTATTTTCCTTATAGTGAGAATTATGTTTCCAGGGGGAGGGAGGCAAAGTGGGAGGCTCGAATGTCAGCGAGCATAAAAATTCGCATTTTAATATTTGCCAGTAAGCTGCGGTGCCTTGGCAGCTGATTTGCCATAGGTCCTTCCACTGCGTCGTCCTGCTCCTTCGGCTTGTTTGCCTGCCACTTTATCTGCGCCCAGCAGCTGGCGTTTGTTTGCGGTTCCATCGCGCGTTGCGTGTTGACTTTTGTGTCTGAGCCACCTTTCAACTGCAACTAATTTATTTTATTTGCCAGCTGGCGACCCAGACCACCTGCCCGGCCCCTTCCCAGACCCTTCCCAGCCCCGTCCCGGCTCCTAAAAATGATTCAAAACAAGCATTAGAAAATATATTGCACGGCACGGGGCTGATGTGCCGCTGCACTTGATACAAAGTGTCTTGACGCTAAGAGTGCCGCGTAGCTGGGTCCTGAGTGCCAAGTACCTCCGTTTGCCAGCGATTCCTGCGTACCGGCGTCATTGGCGTGGACAGGCTGTAAATGAGTTTTGTTATCTGCCAGCCAACAAGCAAGCAAATTGCATTAGGGAACATTGCAACGGGAAGAGGATGGGCCAGGTGCAAGAGTCCTGGCTATTAGTTGCCTTTGAGATTTCATTGGTCAGCTGGATAGCCTTAGGATACTGCAGATCCTGATCTAATAGCTGGTTAGTTTTCATTTCTATTATATTAAAATTAAGCAAGAGATTTCGGTAATGCTTATTTTATTATATTATAATTCGTAGAGAAACAATTTCCGCGGTTACATAAATTAGTCAAAAGAAAATATTTCTTCTCTGTATGGGAACAATTAAAACTTTGTCACTAGACTTTTGATACATTGCTCTATTTTGATTAAATTAAATACGTTTCACTCAGCTTTCGAATGGATTTGGCCTTGCGATCAGCAGGCATAAATAAACAAATAAGTGCTCAACCCCTTGCGGCCATTATTTAGCGTAATTAAATAGCGCATGGAAAATAAGTAAATTATGGAATGTGAAATGCCCGTAAATTTTCGCGCTTGTTGCGTTTGTTTTCCCAGCCAAGAGGTCGTTGAGTCCGTTGACCAAACTGTTGCTCCTGAATCCTGAATCCCCTGCCGCTGACCTTCCGACTGTTGATTTTATTAAAATCATTCCGTTTTTTATGCCCATTGGAGAGCGACCGCAGTAACGATGCACTTAATTACAACTGCATTATAATAACGTTACAATTATTGTTATTATTTTTTATTCCAGCACCCCGGCAGCCGAGCATTCGAGCTTTCGGGCCGTTGTCCCGACCACATTTATAAAATGCCCATTATTCATGGCCTGGTCAGAGGCTATTAATGTCGGCTGGCCAAATATCGGGGAAGTGAGTGAGCGAACAAACCATTTCAAAATAAATTAAATTTTTATGCGTATATGCGAGATATATTAAATGTTTTGTGCATAAGAAACCTCCCTTAATGAGACGCACAATTAATGCATTCGAGTCGTGGGCTCCATAAAGCCGATGCCATAAATTCAGCTGCGTTGGTAATTAGTGGCCAAGGTTAATGGCCAGCAGGAGAAGCATCACGAGTTCATCAGCAGAGGCAGAAATCCATTTCAAAGTTGGAAAACTGATAAAGCTTATTTCTGGGTGTTTTGAGTTTTTAACTTGGATTAAGCTAATCAGGGGTTAGCTCGATATTATTAATAAGTCCCTGCTGCTCTTAAGCTTGTGAAAGCTACCTTAGTATAAGGTTAATGGGTTATTTTTAAATAATTTACGACTGTACTTATGAACGATTCATCATCATCATTGAAACGCTGTAAATTAGCTTTGCAATCTGCAGGAAAGAAAATATACATTTATTACCATTTGCTCGTTAAAATTATGGCAAGGCTTAACCTGTAGAGCTGTTCTCATAGAAAGCGACATTATTCCAAGGATCTGAATAGTATGCGGATGCTGAGACTCCCGCAGCATTAGGCCAAAAAGCTTCCGTTCGTTGACACCCAACTCGTACCAGGCCACATTGCAGATGCTCTCGTACACCTTGTCATACTATTAGGTGCAAGAAGAAATGAGTAGAAGCTAAAAAATATATATAAAAAAGCAAACGAAACTTACTCCAAATTCAATGATAGTGCCCTGAAAGCAATAGACGGACATGCTGTACGCTGCTACCACAAAGAAGACGACCAGCGAGAGGTTAAAGCCAGATAAATTAAGGCAAAAACTGAGCAACATTGACAAGGCCATGGCTATGACCTGAGTGTCGATCAGCTCATGATATATGGCGTTCACTGTGCTGCAGTAGCTAAAAATGGCCATGTTAACTATATTATAGGGACACTACTTAAGTTATTTCCTACTTCGTAAAGAGTTGATGCCACTTGATAACATCCAATAAAAGTTGTAGTCGATATTTTTCCCCTCCAATCTGAACGCCCACGGCTGATAGCTCTCTGGATATTGCTTTGAGTTCCAGGGCTTCGTTTAGCTCGTCTATCTTGAGCTGCAACATATCGGCGAATGTTATGATCTGGGTTAATCCGAGAAAGACAAACAAGTCTCCCCCATAAAATCCTACGCCGCCAACGACCATTGAAAGCTGGAATGCAAAATTAATACACAAAAATATTTAATTTCTTATCCATATTCTTACCAAGTGAATCAGGTAGGTGGCTGTGAAGCCAATATTACTTTCCAGTGAAAGGCCAGGAATGTCGAACTGCATAGCGGTGACCCGGGTTCCATCGTACATCAACATGGCCAGCGGCAGGGACATCATTATGAAAATGGTAACGAAATAACCATTGCGAATTATTCGTATGAGGCCAAGCAACCGAGTGATGTTCTTGTGCAGGACTGTGCGGTAGTGACATCCCCTATTCTCGTACTCCTCGTATATGCCTCTTGTGAAGAATGTGAGTCTCCGCATGTCCTGCTGTTTCAAGATACAGGTCAGGAGCTTTCCGAGCCCATGTATCAGGCCTCCTATCATCGAGGTGGCCTTTAAGTTTTTCTCCAAGTCACCACCATTATTGAAAATGGAGAATATGGTGAAGACCATAAAGTTGCCACCTACAAAAAAAGTGGTCCAGGTTCGATAGTTAAACTTCAAACATGACGCCAATATGTCCACTCCCAAAAAAGCAACGAATTTGTTAATGTCCTTGGCTAGTTTGTGAAAGCGCTGGGACGGACTGACTAAGACAGAACTCTCCATTGTGAAAAACTGATTTGAATATACATTTTTCGCTCCTTAAATGGAAAAATACTTGTTCTGGCCCTTACGTGTCTGCAAAATGTCCCAGCAATTATTGCAATCAAACACACTTAATGCTTTTTTTAATTATATAATCGATAAAAGCTGACAGAATCATTTAATTATTGTGAACGGTGCCAGTCTAAATAATATTATATTATAAAACTTATAAAAAATGAGTAGGCAGGTATCTGAAATGTAGAGTATGAAAGTGTGTATTAGTTTCCCTTGAAATAAGAAGGAAATTAAATTACATTCACCATACGCCATGTTATCTCATACATTTCAGTGTGCAAAACGTTATTAGTCGTGCCTTAACCTCCGTTTTTCCTTGGTAATTGGTAGCCAAGGTTAATGTCCAGCAGGAGAAGCAGAGGGAAAAATCCATTGTAAAATTGAAAAAAAAGGTTATTTCTGGATTTTTTTGAGTTATAAACTTGGAAAAAGCAATTCGTATCTTAACTTTAGAATTATTATGCTGTTTCTGCTGCTTTAAATATTGCTAAGCTAACTTTTAATATCTTTGTATTGTTATTTTAAATTAATGAACAATTTAGGATTAAGTGCTATAATCAATATAAATAATAATTAGCGTTTCATCATCATCATCGAAACGCTGTAAATAAGTTTTCGCCAAAGCGATGGGATGGACTGACTGCTACTGGATTATCCATTGCGAAATAAGTGATTTCAATGCAATTTTCTCCTCGTTTTATAGTAAAATACTTTTTCTGGCCCTTACGTGTCTGCATAATGTCCCAGCAATTATTACAATTAAACACACTTAATGCTTTTTTTAATTATATAATCGATAAAAGGTGACAGAATCATTTAATTATTGGGAAAGGTGTCAGTCTAAATAATTTTACATTATAAAACTTATAAAGAATGAGTAGGCAGGTATTTGAAATTTAGAGTATGAAAGTGTGTATTAGTTTCCCTTGAAATGAAAGAAGGTTACATTTCAGTGTGCGAACCGTTATTAGTCCTGCCATAAATTCCGTTGTTCCTTGGTAATTGGTAGCCAAGGTTAATGACCAGCAGGAGAAGCAGGGGGAAAAGTCCATTGTAATATTGAAAAAAAAAAATAAATAAAAGCTTATTCCTGGATTTTTTTGAGTTTTAAACTAAGATAAAGCAACTCTCAACTTTAGAATTAGTATGCTGTTTCTTCTGCTTTAAAGGTTGTGAAGCTAACTTCTTATATCTTTGTATGGTTATTTTAAGTTAATTAACAATATAGGATTAAGTGCTATAATCAATATTAATGTATTAGCGATTCATCATCATCATCGAAACGCTGTAAATCAGTTTTACAATCTAAAGAACAGGGATCAGAAGTTGTATTACCAATTATTGGGTTAAATAATAGAAAGGGTTCACCTGTAGAGCTGTTCTCATAGAAAGCGACATAATTCCAAGAATCTGAATAGTCTGCGGATGCTGAGACTCCCGCAGCATTAGGCCAAAGAGCTTCCGCTCGTTGACACTCAACTCGAGCCAGTCCACATTGCAGATGCTCTCGTAGACCTGGTCATACTGTTCGGAGTTTGAAGAAATGAGAGAAAGGTGAAATGTATACTCAACACAGCAATCGAAACTTACTGAAAATTCAATGACAGTGCCCAGAAAGCAATAGATGGTCATACTGTATGCTGATACCACAAAGTACAAGGCCAATGAAAGGTTAAAGCTAGATAAATTAAGGCAAAAACTGAGCAACACTGACATGGCCATGGCTATGACCTGAGAGGCGATCAACTCATAGTATAAGGCGTTCACCTTGCTGCAGTAGCTAAAAATGGCCATGATAATATTATTATAAGGACACTTCGATAGGTATTTCTTACTTCGTAAAGAGTTGATGCCACTTAATAACTTCCAATAAAAGTTGTAGTCGATATTTTTCCCCTCCAATCTGAACACCTACTGGTAATAGCTCTCTGGATTTGGCTTTGAGTTCCAGGGCTTCGTATAGCTCGTCTATCTTGAGCTGCATCATATCAGCGAATGTTATGATCTGGGTCAATCCGAGAAAGACAAACGTGTCCCCCACATAAAATCCTACGCCGCCAATGATCAGTGAAATCTGGAATGGAAAATTGTGTGTAAAATTTTGATTTTTTACTTTAATCCATACTATTACCGAGTGAATCAGGCAGGTGGCTGTAAAGCCAAAATTACTTTCCAGTGAAAGTCCAGGGAAGTTGAACTGCATAATGGTGACCCGAGTGCCGTCGTACATCAGCATGGCCAGCGGTACTGATAGCATTATGGAAAAGGTCACAAAGTAACCATTGCGAATGATTCGTATGAAACGGAGGAACCGATCGATGTTCGTGTGCAGGGCTGTGCGGTAGTGAATTCCCTTATTCTCGTACTCCTCGTAAATGCCTCTTGTGAAGAATGTGAGTCTCCGCATGTCCTGCTGTTTCAACAGACACGTCAGGAACTTCCCGAGAATATGTACCAGGCCTCCTATCATCGATGAGGTCTCTAGGTTTTTCTCTAAATCAACGCCATTTCTAAATATGGAAAATACGGTAAAGACGGTATAGTTGATAACTAAAAGGCTAACGGCCCAGGTGCGGTAGTTGAATTTCAAACGGAGTGCAAATATATCCACTCCGAAAAAAAATGTTATTAAGGTGTTAATGTGCTTGGTTAGTTCGTCAAAGCGATGGGACGGACTGACTGCCACTGAACTCTCCATTGTGAAATAACTGATTTCAGTGCAATTTCCTGATCCTTTTATAGTAAAATACTTCTTCTGACCTTACGTGACTGCAAAATGTCCCAGCAATTATTATTAGTGTTATTAAAAACAATTAAACGCGCTAAACGCTTTTTTATTATTACATAATCCATCCAGCATTTAATGTGTTTAAAAGGTGTTTGTCAAAATTAAAATTAATGTGTGAATTACTTTTCCTTGAGTTTAATATCTCCTTGCATCGAAACAGTTAAATCATTCAGCAGTATAAGAATCCATTACCTAGAGTTAAGCTGAATTAAGACAATGTTGCTCCCATGCCCTTTATCACTGAATAGCCCCACTATTTCGCATAAGCCTTTGTTTCGCAAGTCCTTCGATGGCATTCATCATACGCACTGTTGTCTAATACACTTCAGAGTGCGGAACGTTATTAGTCAGGCCCCTTGAATGTTGAATGTCCCTTAGGTCATATACCCACTAGTTCATTGTGTGCTTTTTGTTATTAATTTCCAAGCTATAAATTTCACTTCGCCACATTTCTAAAGGCCAATCCCCAACTAAAACTACTCACTTGTACTTTGGGCTGCGGCTGGGGCAGAAGATGGGGCCCTCACCTTTTGCACGCCTGAACAGCTTTCGGTTTTTGTCTGCGGTATTTTGTTATTCTGGCCGATCCAGCAGCTCCGCCTTCCATCTGCTGCATCTTTTGTTTATTCCTCACAATGGCCTGCCGCAGGTTTTTACTGCCTGCCTGCCAGCCTGCCATTGTGTGTGTCTTCTCCTCCGTGTGTATGTGTTTGATTTTTCCTGTTGTTTTGTACCCGGCACGAGTAGCATGGACTTAAAGGTATACCGTGTTTTTCCCAATTTCAGAACTCCGAACAACGGCAGCGCATATAGTATTTGTGATTTACATACGAAGCTGGATATGAGGATTTTTAATTGGAAGATTAAACTGAAAGTGCACATTAACTAAATTAGCAGTGGTTCTTGATATATGATTTTTTGATGGACTGAAAGCACTGTGGATTTTGAATCAGTTAAAAATGGAACTGAGGGAATATTTCGTCTTTTAGTTAAACTTATAGTATGAGTACCAAGTATTTCTTAGTCCGTACACTCGACTCTGCTTGTTCCTCTCCTGGCTTTTGTATTTTGTGCTGTCTTCTCCTTGGCTGCCTGCCTATAAAATGCAATGGAATTTCATATTGTGCGAGTATATATCGGCATCAACATAATGCTCTCGGATAATATTCCCAGGCATTTTTGCGCTGCGGCACGTAAAAAATGCAAGCTATACACACACCGACCCAGCGTTACATGCCTGTGCGTTTGATGTTTAATCAATTGAAAATGCGAGAGTGTGCCATTGATGGCCCCCCCTCAAACTCACCCAATTTTCCGGCCGGTCCCCTCTGATATCCCGAAAACTTGGCCCCCAACCCAAGCTCGATTGTCTGCCTGGCGGCCTGCATAATACCTGTGGCATGACCTGAGCCAGGGTCGGATTGCCAGCTCAGCCCGGCTTTGACTTCCGCATCGCCCCGCCGGCTGTTTGCTAACTGCAAGCTGCAGGTCTACTCTTAAGACGCGCTCTCTAGAAAAAAACATTAGCAAGATTGCAAGGTGCGTGTGCGGTGCCGCCCACAAACACACACCAACTTATTCTCAGCCGCTTCCTTATTGAAAGGGAATTGAACGCTCGGCTTCCTTTCGGAGCCTAGCCGTTCCTTTCGCCTTTGCCGCTTGCCGCCTGAATGGCACAAAGCGGAATAAAAATTACAATATCGCTGTTGCTGCTCCTGCCGCCGACGATGCAATGGAAATGGAAGGCAAACAACGGGCACAACTACAACCACACGCACGTGCACTGCACAAAAAAGTATAGAATTTTTGGAAAAATAAAGTCCTTTTGTAGTTAGCTTTTAAGTCATTAGCTTGTGTACATTAAGGATGCATGCAGCAAAGAGCTATTCAATTTCAAGACTATATCATCTCAAATAGGTGGACGTAAGGACCTTTCGAGATATCCTATAACTAGTTTTCCCCCGGTGCACATACACACAAAGGAAGGCTCTCTGCCTCAAGCTGCCTGCGGTGGCATTCATGCGCTTGTGTGCGCCAGCCCGAGCGTGTGTGTGTGCGTGGGCGAGTGTTTCTTGTATTGAAACTTCCTTTAATGGCTTCCGGTTATCATTATTGGCACAAGGCATTGTCCGTCCCACTCTTGCGGCTGCGTGTCTATAAAGATTAAACGCATTGTTCTTTGTTGATTCTTTTCGTCATGCGAAGAAATTAATATTCGCAATCCATTATCGCTTCTAATAGCTCACATACGAGCGCCAGGGTCCGCACACACAAAGGGGTATATTTAATAACCTTAATGGGGCGGCTTAAAGCCTTGAAGCCTTAAAGCAGCGAGTCGCAACCTTTTTGGCCAGTGCCCCAGTGCCCCTAATGCATAATCAATCAATCGAACGCTTTAAGCCTCTGACTAATATGCAGTAAAGGGCCTGAGCCCCAGTCCGGGCCTGGGTCCGAGCCAGTCCTTTAAAGTGTCCTTGCTCCTGGCCCAAAACAGATACACACATTGATAGATGGGCGGACTCCAGTACGTCAGCGTCATTCGCTTCGGCTAATGATGACAAATTTTTTATGGGCATTATGAGCGCCAGTGACTTAAAGCGTGTGGGAATGGCCAAAGTGCACAGAGAGAAAATATGACTGTCGTTTGTTTATATAAATTATTTTAGCTTATATAAGTTAGGCGGTTTTTTATTATTCTATAAGAAACATTGACTATTGCATTTTATCTTTATGTTTTTTCCTGAATACATTAATTAACTTGACTCTAGTAATTCTCTGTGTAAAACTAGAACTGTGGGGTGTTGTCTGTTGCTATTCGGTTCCCCCAATGACCAACCCTTGGCCAGCCCAGGCTCTTTATTAATTTGACAGCATCAACAGGAGCTGGCTGACTTGGCACGCTAATGATTGAAATGAACTCCGGCTTGGTCTCCGGTCCCCAGGACTCTGGTCCTGAGGAAGAAGCCAGTGTAACGCCTACCGTCTAACCGGCAGCAGCTTGATTGATGGTTATCACTCACTGGACGCCGAGAAGAGCCACTACAAGGACGTCAGATTAAATGCTGTAGGTGTGTCATAACTTTTTTGTCCTGCGCCCCGGCATTCGCCAGCTCATTCCTCATTGTCCTGTATTGCTCCTTTGTTCGGGGGGACATTTGGGCACTTGTCATCCACTGACACAAATGCCGCTCCCAGACGCTAAGTATGCAAGAACAGGGAGCACAAAAAAAGGAGACCAAATATGGATTCCAAAAATAAATCTGCCATGTCATATGCGAGTGAAAAGGGAAGCAAAAAATAAACCGCCATTGGTCATGTTTGAAAGCAAATAAGGCCAATTAACAAATGCAAATACCCAGCAAGATTCTGCAGCTTTTTTTTCTTCTCCTTTCTCAGCACACAGGTAAAGGGTGTGTAAAGAAAATTAAAGTGTATCGGAACGATAAATATAGTCTTACTTACCATATAAGTTGCTGCTAAAGAGTATAACTATAATTTTTAGAAATGTAACTTAGGATATACAATATATGGTATTAAGGATAATGAGAATAATGAGTCTATTCTGCGGTTCTAAGAATAAAAGAATCAGACTTTCCTTTACCTAAAAAAGTCTTTATCTTAACTTTCTCGGCTTTACTTGACTTTGACTTACTTACTCACAATATTCTACAAGGTCTATTGTTGCTTTTATTACGCCTTAAATGGTTTTTAAATATAATTTAACTTATTTTAAATACTTAAATAAATTCCTTCAAGTAATATTTAAGATTATTTCTATAGCTGTTTTCCTCTTCAGTGCATATTAACCTTGGTTGTGTTTAGGTTAAGTACAAGCCAATACAATTTTCACGTAAAGTGAAACATAATCTGGAGCTTTGTAAATTAAAGATAACCCATGCAAGCCCACGCAGAATCCTTTTCCTGCTCCTCCCAACACGTGGGCCTGGATTTGACGGATCTGGAATGGCTGAGCCTAGTGTGTGTGAGGTCGGAATCGACCACCTGGCCTCTGAAATGTGTTTACTCCGGAAAGCCAAGCGATTGTAGGCCACGAATCTCGTTCGCCCTGTTTTCCGAGTGGAAAGCGGTGAAAGAGCAAAGGTCCCATTGAAGCGAAGAGAGACTCCCCGTGGAAGGACGAAAGTTACTGTGCAATTTCACTCAGTGAGCGCGAAATGTCACTTTCCAGCTGCCGCTCAAGCAGGGAAATTTTCTCTTGGAGTGCAGGGAAATTACCGCTGAATGGAAGTATAAGAGTTTCCAACGGAAGAAAAGAGAGACTTCGGGGAAGTTTTCCCTTGACGGTTTGGAAACGGACTAAAGGCTTGAAACCAAAATTTAAAATAAATTTCACTTGTTGACAGCAATAATTATAATATTAATAAAAATTAATAAATATATATTAGCTTAGAGTTTTCCTTATTTTTTTGAGAAAGGATGCTAAATACTTTCTAGCCTTGAATTTGCGTTATTTACACAACTCCTGAACGAATGTCTGCCAGCAAGGACATCGCTGGGCAATGGTCGGCCAAAACGGAAACGGAAAAATGAGATTTATGACGTGTACAATGGGGCAGGTGGAAAAGGTGGGTACTTATAAATAAAAATATACATGTATATGTGTGTGAGTGTACAGTACATACCATAAATGCTGGGTGAATTATTAAAATAAAAGTGAAACGGAAACGTAACAAAGGTTCGGCGGCAGCATTTATGACAGGAAAACGCGAAACGTAGCACAAAGAGATTGCCGTGGCACGCATCTAAAACGAGATATGCCACGCCGGAAATAAGCGCCCCGCACAGCAGCCTTCACGCACACACGCACACCATCACTCGCACTCCCGACACTCTCGCACACACTTGCGGCAATGTTTACGCACTGGCGAATCAAGATCCCCTATAAGTAG